TAATTTATTTTTGAAGAAATTAGCCCTATATTTAATTGTGAAATTCATGTCATGAGGGTAAGATTTTATCCCCCGGAGTGGGCTAAGTTAGTCATGTATTGAAAATAAAAGGCCTTTTAAAAAAGGGGTGATAACGCCTTTTAGAAAGGCGTAATAACGCCTTTTTTCGCGATATTACGCCTTTTCAAAAGGCGTTTTTACGCCTTTTTTTTCGTGTTATTACGCCTTTTTGAAAGGCGTTATAATGCCTTTTTTAAATTTTTTTTTTCTCCATAGATTGATCCCAATAGGTTTTCGTAGGCTTCCATAACAACGAATGCAAATAAGATTTTGCTGATCCCGCCCACAGTGTGACGTAAGCGGTCCAATATCTCGTCCACAGGTCCATATCTCACTCTGCGGTCAAACATCGATTTTTTTTATGACCGCTCAGTAAAACATTAGAAATGTTAGACTTTTTTAGTATAGATTTATAAAAGAACTAATTTTCAAAGGTATAACAATTGTGTTTATTCACATGAGTTTTCTTTGATAGAGAAAATACCTCTGAAAGTATGTTTATACATCATTTTTTGTCATTGACATAATTTCTATTTTACGTGCCAAAATTTTAACGAAAGGATTGCCAATCATTGAGCAAAATATTATAGTTATTTAGGCTAAAGTTGCATTAATTGTTGGCATTGTAGTAAAGAACACTATCAGGGATAAATAACAAAGTTTTAAAAAGTTCATTGGGGAATTTAATGAACTTTGTTGGTCAAAAGATCAAATCATGTGAAGCCCAAAGGGCTACTCAGTGGATTTGATCGCGTATCAACCATGTTCATTTCAATTTAAACATCGTTTTTCATTACTTATGTTTACACTTGAGGCAAAAGAACTGTTGTTCTGTAGTCTGTACGTTGCATGCATGACCTACATTACGGCATGGCGTCTTGACTCCCAAGAATACATAAATGACCTTCTTTGCTCTTCGGTGAAAAAAAAATTGCAAAAGCTATCAGCAACTTACATAAAACAATCGTATTCAAATCTACACTTTCTTAAGAAAGTTTCAATTGATGTTTTGATGTAACTTTCGTTGGTTTATCTAAACATGCTAAATTTTTGTCATTTCGGAACTTCCACATTATCAGAAGTAGCCAGCTATTCCTTTTGAATATAACTGACCATGTCATGAAGGTATGCAACAAGGTTTGGGAGTTCCAATGTCGATCCAAGGGTTCCTAGTACAGGTCTAAATGTATTTAAATATTTAAACATTGCATCTCCTCTTGCAACGTCCTAATGGTAGCAAAATCGTAATTTATAGAGGATATTCAATGTTTTGTAGTTTGATATGGAATTTATTTCACAAGTGGGACAGGATTTTTGATATTTTCACGAGCGCGAAGCAGGAGTGAAACTATCAAAAAATCCTGTCTCACGAGTGAAATAAATTCCATATCCAACTACAAAACATTGAATTTTCTGTTTATTACATTTTCTTTGATTTTCCCTTTGCCTTTGTCTTTTCTTAACACAGAATCATAGGATGCATGCGCGTCCCGTCATAGTTGAGCAGTTGAGACGTTATAGCTTGCCAGTTGTGAGATTGAAAACATTGTAACATATGGAAAGCCATAGGGGACCCCCATGTCATGTTCTATATATTTCATTGTAAATCAATCGAGAATATCACTTTTATTCAATGAATAAATCGCAGTATTTCACTGTTGAAAAGGTAATAATTTTGCATATACATTCTAGTAATAATAAACGTTTTTCGAGCAGGTCTACGTTGCATGTTCCATCACTGACATATTCTCTTTAGAGAAGTGGACAGGCTTTCGCCTACATCCACTGACGCAGAACACTTTGGAGTGCATCAGAATATATACAGCTCTGGAAGCGCTGCTGTCAGTTTGGAAACACGCAAAATATGTCACTGTTCTGGACGTCGGTGTATGAATTCAGGTCAGGAAATGATTTTATTCGGTTTGTCCATCTACACTTCAAGTTTAATAGCTAGATCAATCCCAAGTTTAACAGCTAGATCAGGAACAGAGAAGATTTTCAAAGCCTACATACATCATGAATAATCTATAGATCCCTGCATTAACATGAGAACTCCTGACCCATGGGACATAAATTTCACAATTTTGGAAGAGGCATCCTTTCTCATAACCATGCGATTAGTTTATCTTCTAAGTACCCAGAAGCAGAGAAGACGACTTCAAAGAATTCATGCATTTTCATTATATAACAAATAGAGCCCAGCCCTAACACGAGAATCCCTGATCCAGGGGCCAAGAATTTCACAATTTCAGAAGAGGTTCTCATTGCTCATCATAACAGTGCACTTAGTTTGTTTGCAAAATACCCAGAATTTATTAATTTTTACTATATAATCAATAGAGTCTCGCCTAACTCCAGAACCCTGACCCAGGTGCCATGAATTTTACAATTTTGGAAGAGGTACCCTCTCTCGTCATAACCATGCACTTGGTTTATTTGTTAAATAACCATGGGCAGAGAAAAAGATTTTCAAAGAATTAATGCATTTTTACTATATAATCAATAGAGCCCTGCCCTACCTCCAGACCCAGGGGCCATGAATTTCACAATTTTTGAAGAGGCAACCTTAGTTATCATAACCATGTACTTTGTTTATCTGCTAAATACTCAGAGGCAGAGAAGAAGACTTTCAAAGAATTTTAAATCCTCTTTTGCAAACAGCCCCGCTTCAACATCGAAAACCCTGATCCAGAGGCTATTAATTTCATAATTTTTGAAGAGGCACCCTTGCTTTTCATAACCATGCACTTAGTTTTTCTACTAAATATACAGAGGATAGAAATTTACGCATTACACCCAGTGTCCAAAAAGCTTACCGCCAACATTGATTAAAAACATACTTTGAGCCCGATGTAAATACAGTTTGCTAACCAGGACATATATAATTATTATAACTTTTCGGCTCTAAGATATCCTGAATAAATTCTATCACCAGAATGGGCAATATGAGTACTATAATATTAGCAGCCGGGGAACCAACTTGTCAGAAAGACTTTGCTGTGCAAGTAATAAGGATAAATTTAAAATGCAGGAATTAACAGTTGAAAGCTGGTTATGTAATTTTTTTCTGCAATGGTTGCAACTGTTAATCCTGAATTAACACGCACATTTTATTGTTTATATGTATATCTGCATAAATAATTGTATAATGTACGTAAAATATTGCATTATTGATCTGATCATGATTGATGGAAGAGCCCACTGCTTAAGAAATCCTTCATACAGAGTGATACATGTGACTGTTAAAAAAACCTTATCCAACTAATTTAGAATGAAGTAGTTTTCATAAAAAATGAAGAACATATTCAGTCAATGTATTTATGTATAATCATTTATTTACAGTATCTTTAATTTCATAAAACTATGAGTTGAGAAAAGAGGATGCAATTATTGAGGGGACACATCTATAAAGTAGCTTTGTTTTCTATAGTATGCTATATATTTGGAAGGGGGGGGGGGGGGGGCCATGACGTACACGCAGTTCATGAGGTTGGTAGTAGCCCATCACATTCCTCTAAATCTGCCAGTGTATTCTTTGGTTAAGGTGTCTGAGCTGCTTTTATATTTATGGCAAAAATAAAACATATTTTGTTTTTGTAATTTATCAGGTATCAGGATTCTATATCTATGTACAACAATGAAAAATACTAATGTTAGTCATAAAATTTTTCTTTTTTCTTTGACGTTTACGATTTTCCAAAAGCATACCTTTTCTAAACATGACAAAAGTCAATATAGTTCTTTGACAGAAATGGCCTTTAACTTGACAGTTCTGTAAAGGAATAAAATTCATTTATCTTAGTAAGAGTTACATCTCTTATCAGAGGGTCAATGAACCTCAAAATTGAATGTTTCTTAATATACATGGCTGTATCATAAAAACTGAGTGCTTCGGTTCTGCTGCAAAGAAACATGTTGCTCACTGATTCATTTCCCCATAAAATAAGAACATTACATTTGTTGTCTCGTATCAGAACATTTGTTTTTGGAGAATAAAATCACTGATACAATCAGTTATCATCAATCCAACAAGACTTAAAGTACTTCAGTGAATAAAGTAAGCAAACCATTTGTATCCTCATATTCACTTGCCTAAAACAACCCACATAACCAAATCTATGGCGGCATATTTCTGCCATCACTTGTCAGATGTTTATGTCAACTTGTTGGATACCTATGTTGACTTGTCAGATAATAATAATGATGTCAGGACTAGGAACTCAATATTTTGTTATTTAACAACATTAATGCCACTAACTGACACTATCTTGTATCATAATATCTGACAAGTCAAAACAAGTGTACAAGAAGTAAACAAAATGATCTGACAAAATGACATCATTATCTGACAAGAAAACTTAATTTTCTGAAGTCAACTTGTCAGATAATGACGTTTTCTTATAAGATGTCATTTGTCAACTTTTTCAGAAAATTATGTTAACTTGTCAAAAGTTATGTTGTGATGTTATGTTGACTTGTTAGATAATTATGTTATCAGATATTTATGTTGAATAGTCAGATAATTATGACGACTTGCTAGAAAGTTGTGTCAACTCCTCATGATTATGTTGACTTGTCATATCTTTATGTTGACTTGTCAGATCCTATTGTCAACTTGTCAGAAAAATATGTTGTCAACTGGTGAGCACAAACTGGGCATGTTTAATTTCTAAACACCTTTATAGGTGACAAGTCAACAAAAGAACTGATACATCTACATAATTATTTGACAAGTTGACATAAACATCTGATAGGTGGTGGTAGAAATATGCCACCATAATATTAAATATTTAATAGAATATTGTACCTGGCAGGTATTTAATTTTCTTGATCTTTTACAGATTATGGATGGTTTTCCAATCTGTGTTTCTCTTTTCAACTTTTTCTTAGGGAAGCAATTATATGTACATGTATCTCCGAAAACAAAAACACAAACAAAATTGATCATACCTTATTGTCCATTTATTTCATTCAATGTAATGAATAAAATTAGAAATAAATGTAGTAATAGTACATACATGTGAAAGACAAAAGCACCAGAATACCTTAATGGAAAACAATCTGAACATGTTTGTCATTAACCTGAAATTTCATATAATATGTATGTCTTACAATTTCTCAATTCAATAAATATTGTAAACAAATGTTAGTTTAATACAAAATAATCCTTCTGTTATTACCTATAGATGACTGAACTAGTAAGAAATAAAGGTGTTGTCTTATTTTGCTTATCAACAGGAAGTTTTTTAACTGTTCATGCCAGTTATTTTCTGTAAGGAAAACATATTGCAAGAGGTCTTGAGTTGTCAATTCAGAAATCTGAGCATCCAAAAAATTCCACTTAATATGGGTAGTTTTGCATCACACCCTGGAATTAAATATATATATTAATAATAATAAAAGAATACAATTTACTATATATATATTAAATCCTTTTCAAGTGATTCATTGCCAGTGCATACACAAGTAAATTTTCGTTCCGTTGAGCTTAAAATTCATTTGGTTACTCCCCTTATGATCAATTTTGGAGATTCCCATTAATATTAATTTTGGAGATTCCCATTAAAATTAATTCTGGAGATTCCCATTACAATTAATATTGGAAATTGTCCTTACTTTTTGACAACTTGAACCACATCCTCATCAGCTAGTGTATGTTCTTTTCCAACTTTCTGGGGCTGGTGTTTCACAGAGGAACCCCAAACTAAGGCACTGTAATAAATAAGTCAGTTAACTGTCACTGTTATAAATGAGTCATCAGTTAACTGTCACTGTTATAAATAAGTCATCAGTTAACTGGCACTGTAATAAATAAGTATTCAGTTAACTTGCAATGTAATAAATAAGTCATCAATTAACTGGCACTGTAATAAATAAGTCATCAATTAACTGGCACTGTAATAAATAAGTCATCAGTTAACTGGCACTGTAATAAATAAGTCATCAGTTAATTGGTACTGTAATAAATAAGTCATCAGTTAACTGGCACCATAATATATAAGTCATCAGTTAACTGGCACTGTAATAAGTAAGTCATCAGTTAACTGGTACTGTAATAAATAAGTCATCAGTTAACTGGCACCGTAATATATAAGTCATCAGTTAACTGGCACTGTAATAAATAAACCATCAGGTAACTGGCACTGTATAAGTTCTCAGTTAACTGGCACTGTAATAAATAAGTCATCAGTTAACTGGCACTGAAATATATAAGTCATCAGTTAACTGGTACTGTAATAAATAAATCATCAGTTAACTGGCACTGTAATAAATAAGGCATCAGTTAACTGGTATTGCAATAAAGAAATCATCAGTTAACTGCAAAAAATATTGCTGCATCACCCCGTCGTATATAAGAAAACCTTTGAGTCCAGGGCTCCCCAACCTTGGCGCCATCCATCGAATCTTATATATCACTGGGGCAATAAAAAAAATTTAAAAAAAAAAAAAGAAAGAAAACCTTTGAACAAACAATTTGTCGATTAAAAAAAAGGTTTGGGGGAGATATTTTTTTTCTCAAAAATGATCTTCCTGGAACCATATGCAATATATCAGTTCACACTCTTTGATATATTCCTATCATGTGTTACAGATTTTGCAATGTAATATTCTTCATATACATGTTTACCACAGGCCCTTTTTTTTATATTATTTTAATAAAACATAATCTATTGGGTATGATACCCCAATTGGGGATATGTCCCAAAACTACTCATTTCAGCCCAAAGTGACTGGTAGTTTGAGAGCTTGCACAACAAAGATTATAACCAAGCAAGGACTGCTATGATTGGACACTGGAAATCTTGACCCTCAAACAAGAGGCCCATGGGCCACAATGCTCACCTGAGTAAATATGACCCTTCTTGTTTTTCATGAGCAGATTCTTCTTCCCATACATTCCTATGTAAAACTTTGATCGCCAGTTGTAGCCCCACCATATCCCCAGTGGTCTAATTTGAACAAACTTGAATCTACACTATCTGAGGATGCTTCCATATTAATATGACTAATCAAGGCTTTCCTGTTTTTCAAAAGATTTTTAAAGATATTTCATATGTATTCCTATTGCCCACTGTGGACCCACCCTACACTCTACCCTCTGGGGTTATGATTTGAACATACTTGAATCTATACTACCTGAGGATGTTTCCATATAAATATGACTGATCATTGCTTTGCTGTTCTTTAAATATGACCGATCATTGCTTTGCTGTTCTTGAGAAGAAGATTTTAAAAGATTTTTCCAATATATACCCATGTAAAACTTTGATTGCCCATAATGGCCCCACCTTACCCCTGGGGCTCATGATTTGCACAAAATTGAATCTACTCTACCTGAGGATGCTACCATATAAATGTAACTAATCATGACTTTGCTGTTCCCTGGAAAAAGATTTATAAAGATTTTTCCTATGTATTCTTATGTAACAATTTGATTGCCCATTGTTACCCCACCCCACCCCCAGGGGTCATGATTTTAATAAACTTGAATCTACAACACCTGATGATGCTTTCATATAAGAATGACTGATCATAGCTTTGCTGTTCTTAAGGAGTCCTTTAAAGATTTTTCCTATATATACCAATGCAAAATTTGTCTCCCATAGTGGTCCCACCCTAGCCCCATGGGTCATGATTTGAACAAATTTGAATCTACACTATGTCAGGAACCTTTCATATAAGTTTCATCTTTTCTGGCCCAGTGGTTCTTGAGAAGAAGATTTTTGATGACCCCACCCAATTTCCACCATGTCTTAATTATCTCCCTTTGGAGGAAGGTGTGGCACTTCATTTGAACAAACTTGAATTCCCTTTATCAAGGATACTTAGTAAGTTTGGTTGAAATTGCCCCAGCAGTTATGGAGAAGAAGATGACAACTGACAAATTTTGATCAGAAAAGCTCACTTGAGCATTCAGCGCAGGTGAGCTAAAAAAGAAGAGTTCTTTTTTTGTGTTCATACTATTGCATCAGATTTATAAAAATAAAATGTATTCAGTATTTCATGTTTTTGTCACTTTGATTTTTATGACTAATTATTCCCCTTTGTTAGTTGTACTCACTATTTGAATTCTTTGATGAGGGATCTGTGGAGTTTATTACAGAAATCTTCTACGGTACATTTATCTTTTTTGACAACCACAGGTGCTGTATAGTCAGGCAGCTGGCCCTTTGGTTTGGTGTATCTGTCAGTTTTGAAGAATGAATCAAAAATAAGAGAACTAAACACTTCAAAAAAGTCAAGTTCATACTACTTATTTTAACTTTATATTGAAAAAGTTGTGTTTAATAAACAACTACATGTACTGTCAATAAAAAATTAAAATGGCAAACAAATACAATGGATCATATAAATCATTATTCATTACATTGTCAATTACAGTAAAACACACTTAGAGCAAAGTGCCAGGGACGCAAATTTTGATTTGTAATACTTGAACTTCGGTATCTCGAATACTGATATCAAGAATACCATGGATATGTTGAAGTGCTTTGGAAGTCCTTATTCTTTAAGTATTTTTCCCTGGATATCTTGAATCCTCAGATATCTCGAAGTTTTTTCTCAGTCCCATTGAGTTCGAGATAACGAGGTTTGACTGTATATCTAATTCGCTATATTCTAAAAGTTCGTAATATGTTTTGAAACTAGAGGGAATAAAAATCACTTCACTGTATGTGAGACTTCATTATAAGCATGTTTGCTGTAACCAGGTTTTATTGTACTTCAAATGTGTAAATCAAAAGAGAATTTTCTGTAATTTTTCACAATTCTCCTGTGTAACTTGGAAGATCCTGGTAAACTCACATTCTAACCAGTCCCAGGTACTCCCACATTTTATCCAGTAAGTCATCAAAATTCCATTTGTGATGCGCTGAGATGGGCACACAGTGAGGTACTTTATAGATAATGTCCAGCTCCTGCAAAGAAAATGAATAAGAGGCCCATAGATCACAAGGCTCACACCAAAGTAACTGCTCTCACTCTCTCTGCTAAATAAATATGTAATAAAACATCTTCTATTCACCCAAAATTAGTAATTCAAATGCTGCATATATTAATGACTTTATACATTTATCAAGTAAATAAATGAAAGTATTGTTGTGTTGAAAAAAGCCTATTTTATCTTTATCATGGCTTCAGTGGTCTTTGATGTCAACTACACAAGGAGGCTTCAGTATTACGTTAGTTGACCTATTTACAGCACTGATATCTTTCAACAGATTTTAAATGTTTTCCTACATACTCCCAATCCCTATCATTGCCACTAGGTTTTTGTCAGTTCAGTCAATTCACTTTATTAAAGTTATATATATTCTGTAATTTTCCGTAATTCTACATCTACACAAAGTGGAAAAAATAAGAAATTTTCAGTTGTGTGGTATTACATGTAAGTCGATAAATGTCTGACCTATCAGATCATATCTCTATGGAGATCATCAATCTAATTGAGAATGTAATATGTCCATACCTCTATAGAGATCTAGTCATTCTTATGTAGAATGTCATGTGTCCATACCTCTATAGAAATCTGGTCAATCTTATTTAGAATGTAATGTGTCCATACCTCTATAGAGAACGGGTCAATCTTATTTAGAATGTAATGTGTCCATACCTCTATAGAGATCTGGTCATTCTAACTGAGAATGTAATGTGTCCATACCTCTATAGAGATCTGGTCATTCTAACTGAGAATGTAATGTGTCAATACCTCTATAGAGATCTGGTCAATCTTATTGAGAATGTCATGTGTCCATACCTCTATAGAGATCTGGTCAATCTTACTGAGAATGTAATGTGTCCATACCTCTATAGAAATCTGGTCATTCTAACTGAGAATGTAATGTGTCCATATCTCTATAGAGATCTGGTCAATCTTATTGAGAATGTCATGTGTCCATACCTCTATAGAGATCTGGTCATTCTAACTGAGAATGTAATGTGTCCATATCTCTATAGAGATCTGGTCAATCTTATTTAGAATGTAATGTGTCCATACCTCTATAGAGATCTGGTCATTCTAACTGAGAATGTAATGTGTCCATACCTCTATAGAGATCTGGTCATTCTAACTGAGAATGTAATGTGTCCATACCTCTATAGAGATCTGGTCATTCTAACTGAGAATGTAATGTGTCAATACCTCTATAGAGATCTGGTCAATCTTATTGAGAATGTCATGTGTCCATACCTCTATAGAGATCTGGTCAATCTTACTGAGAATGTAATGTGTCCATACCTCTATAGAAATCTGGTCATTCTAACTGAGAATGTAATGTGTCCATATCTCTATAGAGATCTGGTCAATCTTATTGAGAATGTCATGTGTCCATACCTCTATAGAGATCTGGTCATTCTAACTGAGAATGTAATGTGTCCATATCTCTATAGAGATCTGGTCAATCTTATTTAGAATGTAATGTGTCCATACCTCTATAGAGATCTGGTCATTCTAACTGAGAATGTAATGTGTCCATACCTCTATAGAGATCTGGTCATTCTAACTGAGAATGTAATGTGTCCATACCTCTATAGAGATCTGGTCATTCTAACTGAGAATGTAATGTGTCCATACCTCTTAGAGATCTGGTCAATCTTATTTAGAATGTAATGTGTCCATACCTCTATAGAGATCTGGTCATTCTAACTGAGAATGTAATGTGTCCATACCTCTATAGAGATCTGGTCATTCTAACTGAGAATGTAATGTGTCCATACCTCTTAGAGATCTGGTCAATCTTATTTAGAATGTAATGTCTCCATACCTCTACAGAGATGTAATCAATCTTACTGATAATGTAATGTGTCCATACCTCTATAGAAATCTGGTCAATCTTATTTAGAATGTAGATGCAGGGAATATACACTCGATTTCCTTCCACCACATCAATCAGTTCCTCTGCTGAGCAGTCTGACCTAAGTACAATGTCAGCGTTGTGAATCTTGTACTCTCCCAGAATTGTCTTCACCAAATCCATGTCCAACTCAGATTGGGTCACCTTGTGCAAGAATATCAAAAGTTTCAAAAGACAAATATCTATAAATTTACAATAATGTATACTGAAGATTCAAGGTAGGCAAATAACTTTACAGCACCCCCCCCCCCCCCAAAATAAGATAATACCGGTATGCTTTTTTATAAAATTAGAAATAAATCGGCAGTGTACAAGTTATATGGTAAATGAAACTCTATTACTCCCAAAGACATCTTCTTTTTTTTTTTACCATAATCATGTATCTGTTTCATTTAATGAACCTTACAACAAATATTTTATAAACATTATTTTTTTGAAATGATACCCAATACAAATTCTGTATAGTTTACATAAATACCAGGGTCTGCAAATTTATCCCTCCCTTTTCCTTTCTCCGAAACCCAATGTTTGGGGGAGATTTGTTGAGTCTGATGCCAAATCCCTCCAACTCATGCTCTATCAACTTCTTGTGTTGTAAAGGTTTCAGGACATCCAATACAATGAAGATAAGGGAGCAAGTCCTGGCCACTGAAATACAAATTAATGCCCTGTGCACATGGAGAGTTTAATTCGAATTAAACGTAAGTTACTGTGAATTAAATTTGAACCGCGTTCACATGGAGAATTTAATGCGAAGTAGTTTAATTCGAATTAATTACTGTGAATCAAATTACTTCGCATTAGCTCAGTGTGAATGCTAAGCGAAGCTAATAGTGTAGTGTAATGTATAGAATTATTACAATACAATGTACATACATGTAGTACAATGTTCAGTGTATAATATATAGAGTATAATGTACAATTCAATGTACCAAGTTCAATAATCAAAGAATAATGTAAACAGTACAATGTACACAGTATACTGTACGTGTACATAAATTGGCGTATTCAAAATTTAGTGCAATCACTAGGTATGGAGTTGTTGGCGTAATCATGAATAAGCGCTGCACATATCCGTGCCGTGTATTGTTTATATATGAGATTTATTAACATAATTCATAAATTAGTGCATCGTTGTCTGCACCAAAGTCGATAAAATATGAAGCCCGCTTTTTTAAGTACACATACAGTGATGTACAATAAAACACGCTTAAACCAAACATGCTTATAATGAATTGACGCTTACAGCAAAGTGCAGGGATTTTCCACTCCATTTTGGGAATGGGGCCCAGGCCCTTGAAATTGGGAATTTAACAACATTTTATCACTTATTAGGAAATTTTATTGCATTATGTTTTTCAAGATATAAACACTTGTGATGAATAAAATTGTTCTTTTACTTAATTATTCAGAACTGTAATCAGAGAATAGATCAATCATAATAAAGTTTTAGCCAAGTTTCTTAAAATTTTGTTCATTTCATTCAGATTTCCAAACCTGGCCGTGTGTTTTTTTTACCACAACTTTGATCAATTTAACTTTGTGGATTCATTTTTGGGAAAAAAGGGAGGGATTTTACAATTGGGAATGGGGTCTATATTCGGCCCTACACAGGGCAGTGTAAAATCCCTGAAGTGATTTTCATAAAAAAACCTTTGTGAATTTAACAGATATAACAAATTACGTTTATAACAAAGCAAAATCGCCCGTCCCTGGCATTTGTAATAAGTATGTTTTACTGTATAGAGTATAATGTACAAAACAATGTACATGTACATAGAACAATGCTCATGCAGAGTATAATGTACACAATATAATGTACAGAGTATACTTTAGAGATTTACAATATAGATAGTTTTTGACTGACACGATTTTAGCAAGAGTTATTTCCCGTTGGTCACCATATTGGAGGTATATAGGCCTGAATTTCTTCATTATTCAACCAATTTAAACTTATCATACTGGGCAACTGGGTGAAGATAACACAATTTTTCTTATGTATTTATGCTAACATACACTTCCTTTTATTCGTAATTTTGGTATTTTAAAGATTTTTGCCCTTATACTTCTGCCATACAAGTTTAAAATGGATTGCTCAGAGAGGAAAATTCGCTCGTTGGACCTCCAATATGGCGGCCAATGGGAAATAACTCTTGCTAAATTCAGGCCAGTCGAAAACTATCTATACTGTGTACATAATATATGTCCACAGCTGATCATATATACATGTAGATCTTCACTGGAATTACATTACTAGTATAAAAGTTTCTTCATACATTTATATGTATATATAAATATATCAATATAAGCCTTTTACCAGCAATAACTTGTTTTCCACGACCTTTGCCGTCTTTGGCTCCTTCAATGATACCTGGAAGATCCAGCAACTGAAAGGAAATAAGGATACCAAGAGTTATAAATAAATCAAATATGATACTTACAAGTACTCACTATTTTCTTTCATATTTATCATATAGCCAGAGTACATCATAAGCAAGCTTTTAGGTCAAAACATTTATTTTAATTTTATGACTGAGCAATTCTAAAGCAACTGTTTCTGTAATCTTCATTTTGATTGTCTAATGCACTGATGTTTCAGGCAGTTAAACAAGCATCAACAAGAGTGGAAGCTTTTGATTTTGACGTCACAATAGAATGATGCAAAAACACACAATGTCAAGCATAAACATTTTGTGACATTTTTCATAACTCAAGGAAATAAGATTTAAACATCAAACAATCAAACAAAATGCAAAAATTGCATGAGAATGGGAATTAATGTCTTCTTGTTTATTACATGCGACCATTAATGCTGATTTATCAGTTTATTGTATAATCATAAAGGAGAAGACAGTTATTCCCTAAATGTTTTTTAAAATAAATAAATATGAAGGAAATTTAAATAACAGTGAGCATGTTACAACTCCACAGCTTAACAGAACCCCTCAAAAAGCATTATGCATTTTAATTACTGATTTTTCTTTTTTTACCTTTTCTTTTTACAGGCACTGTCACTTTGGTAAATGGTCTACATTTTGATTATTTGTGGATCTATCAATAAGTTTTTACATGTTGGTAGTATACAGAACTATCAATAAACATAGGAAATTTGTTTTGTTTGTCGGGCTCTATCTTTTTTGTAAATAGTCATTCCAATGGTGTCCCTGACAGAAGACTTTGTTAACTTCTGAATCATTGACCAAGTGGTTATTGCTAGAGTTCACATTTACATCAACTATATTTACTTCAGCCATTAAGACCATATGTAGTTCCGACAATTTGTTTGGTTAACTTTTTCTGGTACTTTCATTTTATTTAACAGAAGAGTCTAAAAAGCCACTTCTGTATTTATTTTCATTTTTGGAAGCATACATATACTTACTTTTTCTCAAAAATTTGTATCAGTACAGACCCAAAGATAAATAATGAAAACTGCAAAAATTAGAAGGATTTGATATTTCAGGGGCCATGACTCCAATATGGGTGCACAAAATTTTTCCAAAAAACTTGCTAAATACCAGTAACTAAATTTTGCCATTCTATCCTGATTATTTTCAGCAAGCCAGATTTTATCTGAGAGTTGAATAATAAAAGGTCAACATAATACATATACATGTATCTAGATTAGACAAGAAACCATAAGTTTACTACACTGAACTATTTTGTCTTCTGCAATCTCACCTGAATTTTTGCACCTTTATATCGAATAACACCTGGGACTGTTGTGAGGGTGGTAAATTCATAAGCGGCCACTTCCGAGTACACTCCAGCAAGATTACTAAGTAATGTAGACTTTCCAACTGATGGAAAACCTAAAAAATTCATATCAATAAAATCTGGAAGCTATCTCAAACCTTAATACATGTAAAATGATAATTCTACTTTAGTTCAAGGAAATTTTCCTGATCTTACCTACAAATCCAATACGTGCATCTCCTGTTTTTGCGACATCAAAGCCTTCACCCCCACCTCCACCTCCACCTTTGGGCTCAATGAGTTCTCTTCTGAGTTTGGCCAGTCGAGCTTTAAGAAGACCCAGATGTCCACTTGTTGCTTTGTTTTTCTGGGTCCGGGCCATCTTTAAAAAAATCAAAACATTCAGGTTAATCATTGAAAGTGTTTATTAGTGTCTCTCAAGGTTAGAACAATGCCTAGTATCTTAAAGCATATGTTCCAAATTAATATACTTGTATTGGACTACCTTACCTTGGTACAAAATAAATGCTCAATTTGTGATCTGATAGATCTTTAGACAAACATTTGTCCAATCTGAGAGCTGAGGGTCAAAGAAACACATGATTTCAAAACATCATTTCAACTTCTTCCCTTTAATTTCATATCATCAGCTGATTACAAGTATGTAAATCAGAATATCAACCAGCCAGCATTTCCATGCTATCAACAAGGCATTGAATCCATCATTATAATGATGGATCAGCCTACATTAATTTGGCATGCATCTGAACTTTTGAATATTAATCCTCATATTACCCAATCAATTGTAAATTTTATATCATCTGCAACCATTCAATCTTAACCTTGTGCATGAACCCTAGACCAAGAGGACATATCATGAATGTCTCAAACTGGAAATGGACCATAAATCACTATCATCTGAATTGCCCTTCATTGTTATTAACTCTTAATACTTTTTATTTCATGTTTAATTTTTAAAAATATTTATCTATTGTTAATCATCTTTATTTTATTGTGTAATAGTAACAAAACATCTATGTTATTTTCTGATGCAAAGTCCACAGACTCATTACTGATCATAACTTCAAGTCCATGTCCGGCGTCTGTGTATATATTCAAAACTAATAAAACACAATTTGACTTTGGATCTGCCATATTCAACCAAAATACAGCTATATATACCTATGATATTCAGTTTTTCACACCTAGAAAACTTGGATACTATGTAAAAGGTACCCCAATTTAATACTGCTTGTCAACACAGTATGGCTTGATTATCGCATGAATTTTACCAACATTTTATTGTTAGCTTTATAAAGTTATTTTTTTCTACTTACATGATTACTGCAGACTTAATCTGTCATATCATAGGGTTGTAGAGTCAGATCAATAAATCTAACTAAAGGATATGATGATCTTTGATGTTTACTGATTAATATAAATTAGCTTTGAACATGTTGAAACGGTTTTTTTTGAAAAGACATTTTATGGTATATATTTATTCCAACTTCAATGTTTGTCATTTACCTACTGATCCGACTGTTGAAACAAACCAAAAAGTCTCCTCATTGGTGGTAATTATCGGGGGTGATAATAATGGTAATAAACAATACATTGAGCATTGGCGATAAGTGGAGGAGGGTGGTAAAACAGGATTTTAAGTAGTGAGAAAATTGGGACTTGGAATTTTTTTGGCAGGAGTGGCATTATAAATGGGGAATTATAATGGGGGAGCACTGTAAATCAAATGTCCCTAAACTGATATAATACTTTAAATCCTGGGCATATGCATATATTGTCACTAGTGAAAAACTATTTGAAGTAATGGATGAGTTTTCTATACATATGAGATAGAACACTGTACAGAATTTCAAATATAAACATGGTAGATAAAACAAAAGCAAGGCGAAAACATTGATTAATATAAATGTGTGAAATATAAATATAATTGTGTGAATTTCTAAGTTCTCATATATTTATTTTTTGGGTGTGACATGTATGGAATGTAAAAGTAACCTCCCCCCCCCCCCCAAAAAAAAAAAAACAAAACAAAACAAAAAACATTGATACATTTTTGTGGGGGAGGCAGTAAATCTAGTGCTGCTGACACCTGATTTTTGTTGATATTCTCCACATCGTTTAACAGATTCAGTCCATCTGTTCACAGACTTACTGTCCAGACACATTTACTATACTGAATTTGATTAACATAAACTTAAAAATATCAAAATATTATGAATGGTGGCATTTATGGACTTAATTGAGCAGTTCAATGAAATCAGTATCCATTTTAGGTTTTTGCATTTATAACTTAATTATACTAGTGTTAGATTTTACAGATTATGGACAGATGATGCATTGTGATATATTCATATATGTGGAAATTAACCTTTAATGAAGCAAATATGTCCAAGAAGTTTGAAGGAATTCTTTTTGGTAATTTTTATTAACTATTGTGATTAAGGTGAGACAAATGATATACTTTTGCCTCTGACTAAGACTAAGAGACATACTTTGATACTATTGATGAATAAGGCAAAATTAGCAGATTTAAAAAAAAAACGAAAATGAATTATGTGCCGAACATATTATACCTCTGACTCGATTTCCGCTATTCGTTCTAAAATGCCCATTTTCAAAGAAAACTTTTACAACAGTCACCAAGTAAGGCAAGTTGAGTTTTCACGTTGTAAGTTGAAGAATGGAAAATGAACCCGATTTTAAATGGTCAAAACGAGCTAGAGACCTGCTATTTTTAATTCATCCTTACTGAATCATGATCCAATAGATAAAAGAAACTATAAATTTCTTTACATACAATGGCTCTAAAAGAGAACTTTGTGTAATCATCAAAAAGAATTAATTAAAATGCATCGGGTTTGTAGTTCCTTTGATTGCCATGACCCGGAAGAAGTTGTCTGCATGTTTTAATCTACATCTTTTAATGTAAAAATATGTATCTTTTGCAAAACTGATCAAGTTTGACTTTTATTTATTTAGTAAAAGGTATTTTATTTTTCAATGCATTGATAACTTTATTGGTCATTAACATACTTATGCAAACTATTACACATTTCAAAGGTCATCATGGTCTGCGCATGTCACATCCGGGCATTTGCAACATTTTCCGATGTTTAGCTGCAGCGGTTCAAATTTGTAAACGTATTCTCTGTTTAATTTAGTACCTAGTTATGCATTTCGTTTATTTTCTTTGAAGAGTATTCAACACAATTTCTTTCGCATCTGGTTTTTTCTCGTATTCTGTTTCCCGTCGTGCTTGACAGCTGTAGTTTTCATCGGATACTTGCAAAGGTGAGAACACATCAATAATAATCACGTTGAATCGTGTGTTGTGTATTGGTTCTGTTTTGGGAGTATAGGTTTTCGACATTGATTATTGAAGTAGTATTTCTTATTTGTTTTGCAGTTTATACAATATATGAAAACAAAAATATGGTAAATACCTTTGGTAATAGGATAGTTAGAATATTCTAACTGTGTCTCGGGACAGGCCCTCACCACAGTTAGAATACGTCCCATATACTTGCAATGTAGCAAATCGGAGTGGATCCACTCCGAAATGATTCTGAAGAATACAAAATGAGTTGCACTGAAAATAACTACCAAATTAATCATAACAAACCTTTTTGAGATTGTATATGCCTTTTAACCTAAAAATTAATCCATATATATACGAAAATTCAACTCATTTTCTCAACGTTTTTTTCCTCGCTTCAAATTTAACGCCATGTTGACATTCGGAACTCTCTGGATTCTTCATAGAAAATGCACAGAGTTCGAGTTATCGCCCGTGTTTATTTTGCTACATTGCGAATACACGGAACGAATTCTATCGTTAAACCGGGTCCGTAGGACAATATCATTTTAACGATAGAACATTCTATCTAGTAATAGGATAACGTCTGTTTACTCGTTGTTGAGGCAAATGTGTATTTACTATGCTATAGACTGTATAGTGAGTAATTTCTGTACATTTGAACTACAAGACAGAAGCTGACTGGAGAAAGGGCAGTGTGAAATCAAAGCACAACTGCAATAAAAAACATTATATAAAAAAACATATATAAACTATTACATTTATACTGTGGAATGTGGATGGAAATAAACACTTAAAAATCAATACTAAGAAATTTTACGTACAAATTATAGCAATATTGAAGTGATACTAAGTGCTGATAGTAAGATTACTTAGAGGTCATCTCTTCTATATGGAGTTATTTACTAAAGATGCTTATGAGTTTGTAGCTGCAGAACTAACTCACTGGTATGAAAAAATAGGTGGAGTTAGGACAAAAAAACATAGGATTGTCCATAAGACCCGGGGGCCGGGGAATTTCCATGCCATTAATGATGTAATCCCTGGTTACTCTGGTATTCCCTCTAATCCCCCTCTTAAGGGAGAAACCCCAGACCCCGTTCTACGTTTTTAACGTCCCCTGCTATTTAAATTTTTCGGGACACCCTGAAACAGTAGAATATTATGAATAAAATCAGTGCATTGTTTTATGAGTTTTATCTCCACAATTTAAAGCTCTCATCTTAAAATGTTATTAACGATGTTTTTCCTTACTCAGTTTTTGCTAATACTACTATAACAGTCTTCACAACTTTTTTTTTCAATGCATACCTGTACTGCAGCTTCTATTTATACCAAGCTCATGCCAATATTTACATGCTCTACTCAGAATTCTGAACTTTTCTGTGAATGAAAGAAAAACTTTTTCAGAGGTTTCATATTCATTATAATTAAGTAATATTTTATTTCACATCATCTCCAGCTCTAAGTTCTGTCATTTCACTTTCACACTCAGTCTCTGTATCTGAGTTGTCTGCATTTGATTCTTCTCTTGTACCCGGCAATTCACCCTTCTAATCTACTTATAAGACTGCCATTTCTGAATGCATTTCTTGTCATAGACAAGGTTTGACTCACTTGGTCATTCACTATAATATTGATATTTATGTACAAGATATCATTTGCAAATATACTGGAGATATTATGCTAAGTAATTATTGCCCAGCTTCCTTATTGAGATTATTTTTATTATTGAAGCAAAAAATTTCATTTTAGCAATTCCACAAGTTTAACAACTAATTCAACACGTAACATTGACAATGACAAGTATGGAAGCAGAGAGAGCTAGTAATTCTGACGACAATGGAAGGGACACGCCTAGAGAAAGTTTTGAAATGCCGGCAAGGACAGATACCCCTGGTCCAGTGCCAAAGTACATGTATAGCAGGGTAAGCACACAAATCAGTTTTTACCCCCTCAGAGAACCATCTAATTTTGTTCTTTTGAGTAATATAGAATCCCACATGGTCTGTGATTGTGTATGATTTTATGAAAGGAATTGTATGTTTCCTATACATGAGCCTTAAGTAAGGGGTTAGAAACAAATTTAGATAAAATTCATATTCAACCACAAAACAGCGAAGAATCTTTTTATTGCATGTTTTAATATTTTAATGGTTTTTAACCCCTTTTTGCTTTCTGGTTGGCTGTTTTAGGTCACATAGCAATATCAACAGTATTATTCTACTAAAAAAAAATATTGCAATGAAATAAAGACAAAAGTTCTTCTTGAAGTAGTGGAGTGCATGGGTGTGTGATAATAGGCATTGTTAGCTTGCTGGTTCATCCTTGCTGTGAACACTTGTACAAGAAACTTAAGCTGCATTGCCTTAGTCCCCCTAACTCAAAATGGGCTCCAGCCTTCACTGGGAGTTCACCTGCTATTATTGTTTTTTTTTTTACTTGATTTATAAACCTTGACAAAGTCCCTTTGATAATGCTGCTTATCTTAGGTAAAATGTTTAAGAGTAGTAATTTCAACAATGTTCTTAACATTCATTATTAAAAAAAAATGTTTTGGGGATAAGTGGAAGCACCATAGGGGATGACTGGTCAGGATTTTGTTCTTTGTCCATGGGACATGTGTTCATACAGTTTGTTGTTTCGCTTTACAGATAAGCATATGCATGGCTTTCTCATTCCCCTGATTTAGACATTCTGTCTTGCTCTTTCAAAGTACCTGAAGGATGAACTATAGAATCAACTCTGGAAAATTTGATTAATTGAATTTAAAATCAGACTTGCCGTCGAGCACTTAGATGTATAATTTGATTTATTAAAATTACATTTACGGTTGAGAATTAGAAATAGACACATTTCATGGTAATATTCTACATATCAGAAAGCCTAACCAGTTTCTTGAGGTGATAATGCTACAAAGGGATGTCAGAGAACTTTAGTTATATGTGTGTTTTATGTGATTATTTGCACTTTTAGCTATTCAACTGAATAAAATTGAATATTAACATACTTAAACTTATTACATAGTAAAATAAAATAAGTTCATTTAGCACTGAAAATAAGGCCAAAATAAAAAATACCTTTGTTTCCCCTAACGCGACTGACCCAATTAAATCCCGCCGACTGAAAAGTTTTTTTAAGAAGATTATTCCAATATTTTTTTTTTTAATGTTTATCTTTTATAAAATACAATTTCATGAAAATCCGTTTTTATCAGAAAATCAGAATGTATTTTCAAAGCTGCTGTCAGGAAAAAAAATTATTTACCTACCTACCTACCCTACTTCAGATTTTAGGGTCGGGTTAGGGGAAACTAAGATATTTTTAATGATTGCCTAACACTATATTTTTTTAAAATACTCCTTTACTTGAAAACTTGCAGGACGAGTTGATGGATATATCTACAAGTAAGCTGGCTAAAGAAAGGCCTCCATGTCTGTCCAAGGACCATGACACGTAAGGAAAAATAATTCCAGAAAATCCTCTTGTGATGTATTTTAACTTGACTCAATGTATAAAACATCTTGAACATATCAGAGATTTCAAATTATATAAGAAAAAGAGCTTGACACAAAGACTACTAAAAGGTAAAATTGGACTCAAAACACTTTTGTGATTTTATTGGGGCATCTGGTATGTAATATGATTATGGCCTCATATTGTAAGCTAGACTTTTTAATATTGTCTTACTGAATTGTAATATGATCATGGGCTCATGTCTACTGACTGATTTTTAGGACTGATGGACTTTGGGATCCAGAGAGGTGGTTTCGATCTTTCGACACCTCTCGTGGAAACTCCCCTATGACTGTTGGAGATAAGAAGCGTCCACCCGAGTTAGACAGAGAATACCTTAATCGTCGCAGACCATCAGGTAAAGCAGTGATTTAACTCAGTGATTGTTTTAATCCGTTATAATTTATTTTAGGTTGAACCTTTGACTGTTTTATAAGAAAGAAAAATCTGAATAAGTCAAGTGCATTTGTGAGACGTTTTATGTAAAAATGTGTGACATAAGGAAAGTTTTGTTTCAGAGGCGAAATAAAGATTGATAGTCAATTTTAATATCATTGATTGTGATTTTGTTTTTGCTAAAAGCTCTTCAGATAACTTATATATAGTTCTATGTAAATGAGGAAAAGGTATTTTATACTTGCAGATCCTAAAGAGCGTTTGAGGGATGATAGAGATGGAATTGTGTTGAGCCCTCAGCGACGAAGCTTTGGGACAGGATGTCATGTCAGTAGTCATGTCCCATTAGGACGACAAATCAGCATCCCTGGACAGGAAAATGGAGAAAGGTCATTGAATTTTAGATTTACGTATTTAGCTCACCTGAGCCAAAGGCCCAAAAGAGCTTTTCCGATAAAAAATTTATGTTGTCTTTGTCGTCATTGTAAACTTTTCACAAATTCATTTTCTTCTCCAGAACCACTGGCCAATTTTAAACAAGGTTGGCACAAAGTATCCTTGGGGGATGACGATCTAATTTTTTTCTTCAAATAAAGGGCCACACCATCTAAGGGGAGATAGTCAAGAAAATACAACATAAGGCACCAAAAAAATTATTTAATAGTTTCTGAGGCCAAAAATTTCAAAATTCAATGCAGCAGGCAGCAGTGATTCATTTTGAAAATGGTTTTCATGGGTCCACAGGACCCCTCTTAATGACAACAATGAGTCCCGTGCCAAAATCAATGCGTCCAAATCCAAAGGTACCATATATTAGATGTTACAGAGGAAATTCTGGTGAAATTAAAAAGGGTATTGCTTGAAAGTGCAAATGTTTTATTGTAGCTGTGAGTGATTTATACTTTTACTATCAATTGTCCAAGTAAGAGTCCATGATTTTGTGTCATAAAAATGATATATTGTCAACTGTGCACTTTGGTTCTATTTTTAGATCGTACATAAGATCTCACACATTGTATCAGTTATAAAATGCACAGAAGCAGAATAAAGTAAAAAAAAGTTTAAGGAGAAATGACAAATAGTCAGAAATAAAAATGATTAAATTTCTTAGCTTGTAAGGAAAAAACAAAAAAAAAACAAACAAACAATGATACGGGTTACAGCTTAAATACAAAGGTATAGTATTCGCTTCAGAAACATTCCACGGTATATAGACATAATCAGTGATAATTGAACTATGCTATCTAACTTTCAAATATTTTCTGATAATTGCTTTTAACTGCAGTTGTAAAAACTGACCTGTTGTTGGCAACCTTATACCTGTTAAAATCGTTCATGCATATCGCTTAGCACGTGGATATGATGCAATCGGTCAAGTTTTGAATCAGATTATACCGAAATAATTTGAAATAGTGCCTGTCCTTCTATAAATTTATTGCGTCCATTGGGATGCACATTTATTGAAATAATGCGTCCTGGGCAAAATTTGTGCATAATTTACGCAGGACGCACACCAAAATGAATCAGAGGCAGTTTTTTTTTTTTTTTTTTTTTTTTTTTTTTTACTTAAGCAGGTGTTATCTCTTT